AGATGACCACAGTGATGGTCGCCCAGTGACAGCAACAATAGAAGAGAATGTGTTGAAAATCAAGACACTTGTGTTGTCTGATAGGCGGGTAACAGTCGAATGTTTGAGCAACGAAATAAGGCTTAACATTGGATCACTTGAACTAATCTTAAATGAACATTTGAATATGACCAAGGTTTCTGTGAGATGGGTCCCAAGTTTGTTGACTCCTCCTCAAAATGTGCAACATGTGGATTGTTGTCAAGAATTCAATTGCTTGGTCCGTATGAAGAGGATGACACTAAACCTTTTGAACGACTTGTAACCATGGATGAGACATGGGTCCACCACTACGATCCTGAGTCAAAATCTGGATCAATGTAGTGGAAATCGCCGTCGTCCCCTACACCAAAGAAGGCAATGGTGCAGCCATCTAGTGAAAAAGTGATGCTATCAGTTTTTTGGGGACCAAGAAGGGGTGATTATGAAAGAATATCTTGAAAATGGACATACATTATTTTAACCAGCTAAAAATCAACGAAAGACTAGAAAAGAAAAATGCAAAGGAAACACTGAGGAAAGATCCGAAATGCCAAAACAAGGCGCCAGCAGACACTTCATCAAGCAAAGCTGCAGAAACTGCCAGAGAAAGTGGCTATGAAATTTTGCCACATCCACCCTGTTCTCCAGATTTAGCCCTGTCCGACTTTTTCTTTTATTCTCCAAACTGAAAAAGGATTTAAAAAGGAAGGCAATTTAAAAGCAATGATGAGGTCAAAGGAGCGGTAGAGGGCTGGTTTTCTGACAAAGAGAGGGTCTTCTATTCTTAAGGTCTTTTCCAAGGTCATACACCCTTGGCAATAATGTATAATTGGCGGACTATAGGGAAAGATTAAGGTTAGTACCACATTTCAGCTTTCTACCTTTATTCCTTCATGGTTAGGTAAAAAAAACAACTTTTGGTATGCCCCTCGTATTATGTATGAATGGTAAACGTATAGCAGAAGACCCCAATGAAACAAATGATGACAATTTAAGTTAGTGGAGAAAATAAAAGTTCAAAGCTTGGAAGTCCATATGTCTCAGTGTGAGTTAAGCATTTGTTTTACCTTACGTAGAAGAGGGCTAAGCTTCCTTAACCTTGGAATCATTTGCGAAGAAAAAAGTTTTAAAGTTCGATTTTGAAAGAAGGAGCAAAAAGCATTTTAAGAAAGTTGTGACAACTGGAGTCTTCATAAACTTTCACACGTCATAACATGGATGGGGTACAGAGTCGCATTTATCTTATAAACAAGGGGTGGGGGGGGGGGAGTTTGAACCACCAGGGCAGACCCAGACAAAAGAGTTATTGAGATATGTAACGCTTACTTCGGAGGTGATATATGACAACGATAAAGAACTCTAGATTAACATTTTGACCACTTTAACAATTAAATTATCATACTGAGAATAAAGAAACGACAAAGAAACCCCACAATTTGGCTCAAACTAGAATAAACCTGAAACACGTCTTCCATATTACTGCCATAAATGTTCATTTTCAATATCACTGCCTCCATCTGGTGTTGAGCTGGCTACAACATACATAGTCTATGAATCTACATAACTTAATTTACTTACCGGCATTTTGCTTTCATATTATTTATAATACCAGGGTGAGTCAAAAAGTAATGCAATTTCGTTAATAACTTAAAGAAAATAGTACACACTTTGCAACTTTCAGACCTCAAATTGAAGGGGAGCATCTGAGGATCAGGTTTTCATTTCTCAATATTATAGTCTCCATTTCGTTCAATAGCCACTGTCCCCCTTTTACTATGTCCACATATGCCAGCTTCGTAAAACCTATCTGGTTGGTCTTTGGGCTACAGCAGTCTTAATGCCTCCATCGTTTCCATAATGTTGACCTGTCAATGGTTCTTTTCAAGATTGCAAGGTGTAAGTGCCAAGGGACAACACTTCTTTACGTCATGTGCCAAGTGCAGCCCCCCCCCCTCCCCCCTCCCACACACACACAAACACACTTGCAGCTGCGCGCGGCGATAGTTTACATTGGTTACAAGGCTAGATCTAGATCTAAAATCTAAAGAAGCACATGTAGATCAAGGCCTAGGCCTAGGCCTACGACAACAGTCGAAACTAGGTCAACCTCTCGATTCGAAGTTTCAAAGTATGATGAAGTGCATTGCTGGGTGATTTTGTGGCCAAGTGTTGATGCTAGCATCAATATTTAATAGTAAAGCACCTAATAATACTTACTTCTTGTTGATTTTGATGATCTGTGAAGAGTTTCAGTCGGAAATATACACGAAGCGAGGCGACACATGTCCGCCATTTATACAACACTGTTGAATAGCACGTCTGACGCATCGCGCAGCTCAGCTGACAAAAAACAGACGACACATCGACGCTGCTTAAGCACACGATAATGTATACATTCATTTGCACGGTGCGAGCCAGGCGAGCTACATGTCAGACCTACAGAGCCACTCTGGGACCGGCCTAAAGGAGCCAAATGCACGAGAATTCCCCATAAACGGAGTGATTGTCTCCCTTGTTCTGGTACTCGAATGCTGGTGGACTTTGTCATGGTGAGAAAAACACTCTTTCAATGTTCAAATTTGGTCTTAATCGTCGAATTCTCGCCTTCAGTCGTTTCAGTGTTTCAATCTGGGTTCAGAATTGACAGTTGTTCCTCATGGTTTAAAAAAAAATCATCTGATCAATTTTAAAAACAAAAACGACTTCAGCTGACATTTGAATATTGAATAACTGAAAATGTATTCACCCAATCATCGCCCTAAAACCTTTCGCTACCCACTCATGTAGCATATACATTTAAAGAATAAAACGTAAATTTTGCGTCATATGATACCTTAATTGTTTATCTACGATAAGAGTCCACTAACATAGTATGGTCACTCAAAACTGACCTTAAAAATCGTGTTTGGTAAAACCGTGTGAAATTAAGCAAATGTAAATGTGTGTTTGCACTTGTATTTGAGTGTGTTATCATTGGTGGAATGGGCATGTATTGCATATCAGATGAATGAAGAATAGGTCTATTATTGTTTCTGAGATGACCAATGTTTTAATACGACATTTTCAAATGGATGAGAAAACAAAGCAGTCACAAATACCACTTAAAACTTGGACTTATTCGTTTTATGTGCTAATTAGTATTTTGTATAGGAGACATTGATTTTGTTTCTTTGGGCTTCACATGCCTGCAGGATTCATACTGGGACTATTTACTGATGACCACTCCTTCATCGGTATGATTTGCTTTTCCAAGTTTTGTCTAAAGGCGTTGGCCTTGTGAGAAGGTTATTTGTCACGTATAGCGATGTCCCTTGAAAGACACCATAACGAAAAGGATGATACAACGTGATGTTCAAGTACTTGTGCGATGTAATCCTGAGTCAGATTGAAAAGACAAAACAAAGCAACAACAACTACAAAACAAAAACAAAGAAACCCCAAAAATATAAACACCCCCCCCCCCCCCACAAAAAAAAGAAATCCTTTGGTACACCCTCTTTGTTTTTTGTTTTTTTGTTTTTCTGGAACAAACAAACCAAATCTTTCATAACAAATCAGGAGGAACCACAAAGAAAAACAGAAAAAAGCAACAACAAAAAACCCACAAAATGAAATGCACAATAAAATGATACAGAGAGGAGAGCAAGTTGGATTTTTAAAACTTGGTTACGGACAAAACGTCGTCGTATTGTGGAAAATATTGGAAAACATTCAAAGAACTACAAATGCTCGTGCTTTTAAATCAAACACTTCAACCTTAAACTCAATAACAACATGCAACCAAAAATGTATAGTCAATTCACAAGAAATCTGTCTAAACTTCACACTGTTTAATTTTTTTAAAACTCGACAAACTCACCACCTGATTCTGTCTGTGTCTCACAAAAGTGACATATAATTTTAAACATCAAAGTACAGAGTGGCAATGTTATGGCATCGGAACGTTTCATCTATAAATTGTCCCCTCAAGTTATATGAAGGCTGTAAGGGCTATACAATGATCAAATCTGATTTGAACGTCATTGTACCATTTCATTCGCGTGCGCCAAAAATGCAAATTGCGAAAAAGAAGATGGAGTTTCAAAGATTAATCAGAGCGTTTTGAATTGATGTAGTGCGGTCAAAAAATTCGTGGTGTGATGTACTTTCAAATGTCTCCTCAACTATCGAACACAGGTTCTCCAATTTTTGCACAGTGCCTTGTATCAATTTGTCTTAACAGATCAACATTTTTGTAAAGACCTGCAAGCTGTATTCTAGAAAATTCCTTAATAAATACTAATAAAAAATCCAAGAGCGTGGTTTCTACAGATTTTTCAATGTATACAGTTGGGGCAATATCGCTTTTAATAGAAAGTCAGTCAGATTTTTCTAATCGGGACATTATGCTTATTGAACGCATGTTTTGAGAACCATTAACGAAAAAAAAATTGTTCAGTATAACAATAATTTCTTGTAACAATTTTTGCTAGTAAAAATTGTCATTGATGAGCTATGACGTAGGCCATATGCGTAATCGAAATACGTGTGAGAAGCGGGAAGTACTGTGAACAATTATACATTTTATTTGTGACAGAGATTTCAAGTATTTTATATAAATGTATGAAGAAAAGTTTTTTAATCTAGCCCCAATTGTTCGAGAAAAATATGATTTAGTTAAGACAAATTGATACAAACTGCTATGCCATGTATGTATGAAATTGATTCGCCCGTTAAAGAGATATTTGAGGATAAGTTGCACCACGAATTTTTTACCGCATTATAAAAAAAATACGTCCATAATAATATTGTCCATTCATTACCTTGCGTCCCGAAAATTTCAACAGATCACTTCAGGCTTCGTAAAACAAAGAGATGATAAGTCAATAACATAAACATATCCCTGCCTGCTAGACATAATATTATTTTCAACTTATATAAAAGGATCTACGATATGAAGTGATCTTCTACGAAGCACGAGTGTCACAGGGAAGCGGATCTTCTGATAAAGTTACAAGAATGTTGAACATTGAGACAAGTTGCGTAGTGTAACTCGACGTTGTGAACATATCAGGAGCTAGCACTGGATGCACTTGAGCCTCCAGAGCTCCCAGCTAAACATCGTGGGGCGAACATCTGCACGTACGTGTATCTAAATCGTCGGTTCATGACTACATAAATAATAAAATTCACGGAACAATTGATCAGGGCCACGCTGTTTACAACCTCGCCTAGAATGATCTGCACCATCTGCTCCTCCTCAGAGTCGCCAGAGTAGTGGTCCTTGAAGATGTTGGAATGCAGGATGAATATGACGAAACTGCACACGGCATACACGAAGCAGACGACAAGAAGGGTCATCGTCACACGGACAACAGACGAGTCTTTGCTGACGTTGCTCGTCATCTGGTTTCTCTTTAAAGTCGCCATCTTGATTTTCACCACTAATACAATGCAACCAACGAGTACAATGGATACCGGAAATGGTCCGAACAGGAACTTACTAAACTCCGTAATGGCTTCAGTGGTGTCTAGGGTATTTCTCAGTTTGGACAAATCGATGATATCTAGTTCTCTGGTCGTGCTGTTGGAATGATTTCCAAATGTTGAATTATAAAGCTGAAAGCGGGAATTGCTGATTATAGTGAGATAAATCATTGTGCAATAGAGTGACAAAGCCACGAAAGCGACAATACAGAATGTTCTTCTTGGGGAAACAATACGAGTCATTTTCAGGGGAAAACATACAGCTAAAATCCGTTCTGCTGTGATGAAGAGAGGCATGGTGAAAGAAGTCCAGGCCCCGGCGTAATCCATCACCTGCAACACCTGGAAAAACAAGAAGTAGAAGGATTTCTTTTGATCGAGATAGCGGTATCCATTTGAAGCTGTAAATCCGTAGCAGAGCATGGAGAGGAGAAACGAGGAGTCTGAGCAGGCGAGAACGACCAGCAAGACGTTGTAGCTCTTGTCCAATCCATGACGGACGAGGACACAGAGGCTCATCACGTTTCCCGTGATGCCGAAGCCAGCTAGAGTCGGGAGCACGACCACCACGAGAGCATAGATGACAATTTCGGTGGTCTCCCTGTCAAGTTCACCTCCTCTTGCCGTTGTGACGGATGTCAAAGAGCCGTTGGTTTCAGCTGTGTTTCGAGTCGAGTTGACGTCGACGGACTCTATGATTACAGAGTTGTTTGCTGCTTTGGGAATCTCCATTCTAAAAACAAAAAAGGGGAAGGGGGTACAAAGACATGAAAAGGTTCGTTAACTCTTTTGGATGAACTGGTTGTGTTTCGTATTGTTTTTATTTTTAAATAAGGTAAGGGAAGTTAGGAGGTTGTTTGAATTTACTCCACAGTCAAACACAGTCTAGGTAATAGCAAAGAATGTGCCATTGCTCCTGTTCTACTAAAGGCGAGAAAAAATCGGATTGCACTTCCAATCTGACTTTGAACTGATACTAATTTAGCCAAAACCGTTAGGTTAAAAGCTCTGTAGCAGATGGCGTTAAAGGATAATAACCTAAAAAGAGAAGTGAGAAAAACAATAAAATGGCTGCGACACATTGACATGACTAGTACGGTGGCTCAAGGGTGTATAGATCAAGTTTGCAATTACATCGGACAATCTTGCATTTGCCTACAAAACAGTCTTCGCGAGAGTATAGACGAGCCCCTCTTTACCCGATTACAGGGCGCTCTATTAGCCGAGTTGGTATTATGCTGGACTACGAAGCAGACAGCCCAGATTCGAATCCCCGACAGGGCGTTCTTGAACTTGCGTCGTTTTGTGGAGGGTTTTTTCAAGGCTCTCAACCCATTTGGCTCGGTCATATTTGAGATGGACGTTGAATTCGGAGATCCTGCCTCTTATTTAAATAACCCAAACCTAAAAGTGTTAAACAGGGCATTATATCCAAACATTTACTTATTCTTTCCAATTACCTTTATATTACACGCTTGATTGAAAAAATCCCCCCAAAACAATACAAATTATTTTTGGGGCAAATTAAAATCTTCCCGTATTTGCATTCGTACTTCACTGTTCGATCATTTGGCAGTCGAAAATAGCTGGAAGATGCATCGATAATGGCAACAATCGAGTTTTCTTTTCACGTGTAATTGACAATGTTATTAAATGTTTGATCTGTATCGGCTGTTTTCTCAAAATTGTGTTTTTGACACACATATTATGCTTCTAACATTTTTGTTGTTCTAGCAAATCAGCTGCAACTTGACAGGATTACTCCTTGTTTATTGTTTAAACTTTATATAGAACAATTTGTATGTCAGAGTTTTCATTCTTGATTTCTGAAATAATTTAGAGTGCAACTTGTATTGCACATTACCGTTCATGATTATATCACGTAAAAATCAAAATAATTGTTCAATTACAAAGATCCTCTACTCTATTTTTAATCATGTCTTGTAGTAATGCAATGTTTCAACTCATTTTGGGTTTTTTTAAAAAGGGCTTAGGCAAAAATGTAATACGGGTTGCCCATTGGGGGGATCGGGCCTGGGCGGGACGAGACGGTTTGCTAGCCAGATTGAGGGCGCAAAGCGGCTATCGTGGCACAGCTGATCACGCCTGACTCGTTGCCTGAAAAACAAACACGTTTGTTTTCAGGCGACAAGTCGTGCGATCATCCCGACCCGACTCGACCGGACCCGATCCCATCCGCAACGGGTGACACACACACACACACACACACACACACACACACACACACACACACACACACACACACACACACACACACGTACAGAAACACTCACACGCACACACTAACACACACACACACACACACACACACTCACACACTCACACACACAAACACACACACACGTACACACACACGTACACTCTCACACACACATACACTAATATTGATCACGAGAGGAATCGAAATAACTATGATGGCCTGGTTACACGTAATGGTAAATTGTACATAAAATGGGTGATCCAGCAACTATACGATAAATCGTTAGGTGTTACACATAACCACAAAATAGTACCAAAAAAGAGGTACAGTGTTCGCCCTTCAATCATTCATTAGGTCCCGGGCTCGAAACCTTCACATAGAGTGCAGGCAAATCGCTGTCGTCGCAAAGAGACATGACGAGGAATCTCCTCGATCGAAAGAAAACTGGTCGACAGATTGGAACGTGTAAACAGACAAAACAGTTTGATAAAACGGACAGTTCTCGCTAGCGACGAATCTGATGCAATTTTTTGTTGCGTGTAACCAGGGTATAACGCACATAATATATAACTGTCAATATTTTACGCTCCCTATTAACACATTTGGAGGCGGGCAGCTTCAGTCCTGTCTGTCAAAGTCATTTGTAACGAGAAGGATGCAACTCCTTGATTAGAAATACATGAATGTATTCGGGGTATTAACCTTAGGTTATTGCTAGTGCCACAACTGAAGATCAAATCAAACCGTCGAAATAAAAGGGGACATAATGCACTTCGCCCCACCCGTTGTATCCAATGCCTCACAAAATTCGTGCGTAGAGTCATGGTTTCCGCTATTGCTCAGTACACCTTGTGAAATAATCAAAGCCCCCCCCCCACCAAAAAAAACCCAAACAAACAAAAACCCTGGTTTTTAAAGTTCGGTTTTACATCTGTATCGATACTTTTTAGATCATTTAGGAGTCTGGCTTCGGGCCCTGTCTGCCAGAGCAAACCCGGGCTGAGAGGGATATAATTATATATAACTGCCCAGCAGAAAGACCGAGACAGTCGATAACAATAGTTTTTCCTCAATCGGGAATCGGACTCAGGTCTTCTGCGTGCGAAAGGGAAGCACTTAACACAGACGAAAGTTTATCACAGCGATGCTTTTAAATCAATAGCAAACGCTGATGAAAAGTCAAACGGCATCAGAGTTAGTTTATCAGATAAATTCCCTTAATTTTAGCTCAGTTATAGATCTAGTCTTTTATGTATACATTAATAGGGGTTGAGCGCTATATAAATAACATTTATTATCTATTATTTATTATTAAATATTCAAGTTCTAGTTACAGGTTTGGTACGGTACCCGAACTGACAAGCGCATAAGGGTGTTTTGATGAAATCATAGAATTACCTAAAAAGAAATGCAGCATAACGTACTAATGGCTTCGCTTTGCAAACACGTTTGAAGGTTCAATTGCAGCTTCTATACTACGTATAGATTAACTGATTTAAAATAAAAAGGAAACTTTGATTCTCCGACACATTTAAAATTTGACAAACGGGCGTAATATCTGTGGAAGACAAACAATCATATCTCCCTCAACCCCAAACCTGAAACTGCTCAGTGCCTGCTTCTATGTTGTCACAGTTGCTGGTGTAATCATTTGGATACGACAAATTCACAACTACAATCATTGTCATCATCATCATCATCATTTATCATCATCATCATCATCATCATCATCGTTGTTGTTGTTGTACAGGACGAAAAGAAACATAAACAGTAGGTTATTGCAATTTGCTGATTTTTTAGGTTCTTTGGTAATATTTAAAAGATTTATACTGGTGATCATTATTATTATTATTATTATTATTATTATCATTATTATTATTATTATTATTATTATTATTATTATTATTATTATTATTATTATTATTATTATTATTATTATTATTATTATTATTAATATTGTCATTACTATTTAGATTATCATTTATACTTTTATTATTAATATCATCATCATCGTCGTCATAATCATCATCATTATTATCATCATCATTATTATTAATGATGATATCATTATTGTTATCTTGATTATCAAATCATTATCATCGTATTGCCTTTATTATCATATCACCATTCTCATCATTGATATCACATTACCATTATTGTGAATTATTAACATTGTTATTCGTATTACTATTAACACTATTATCATATTGTAACCTAACCTCTTTCAGAGTAATAAATTTTGCAGGCAGCTCGTAATATCCTCTCCTCGAATATAAAAAATCCGACTACGTCCACCTTCGCATATCCCTACATAACTGCTGGTCGTCTGCCCCAGGGCTACTTTTAACTTTTGACCAGGCCGTCACTCCGCGGGCTCTCGCGATGAGGGCGGTAGAGGGCAGTGGGAAGAAGGAATGGAGGTGGTTTTTATAGGGGGTGCCCACTAGCGAGAGCGGATCGGGTCGGGTCGTGTCGGGTCGGGTCGGGTTTTGGGTTGGGTCGCTATCTGACGACATGACAACTGAATGAAACGTCCAGCCAAACAATCTGAAAACATCCAAAACAAAATGGCATTGAATACCCCCACCATACGATACTTGGACCTCCGACATTGCGGACATTAAAAGCATAGACAAATGTGTTGTATTAATTTTGACGGTGAAATGTCATCGGGTATGGAGTGAGCTCTCGTGGAAATACGAGGTCTGTCTCAGAATAAAGTTTCCCTCCTCCGTAAAATCAAAAGTAAGCAACCAACAGCCACTAAATTTTGGGAAGTCATGACATCATGTCTAAGAAACATCAACACCAAATTGCAAGTGCATTGGTGAACCGGTCATAGAGCAGTGACATGTCAAGTGTGGTGTTCTTGTGCACGTTGTCCAAGGCAAATTTGAGGAAAATGTCTGAGCAAAACATTGGTGCAACCGTCTCATGCTATGATGTCCGAGTTGTGATCAAATTTTCAACTCTTCTTGGCAAGTCAGCAGTTGAAACCCATGGTGATCTAACAAAGTTGTAGGGAATAATGTCCCATCAAATCAGACAGTAAGGAAATGGATTAGGGAAGTTGAATGTGGGAGGTCTGACATGAAAGATGAAGTGCACACAGAAAACACAGGAAGAGAAAGGTGATGCACATTGGGTTTTTTTCGACATGAGTGACATCATAGTGAGCTGGCTAATCCCACCTGGTGTAACTGTCAATGGTGACTACTACAGGTTCGTCCTCAACGACAAGCTGAGACCTGCTATCAGGAAAAAAGACCTGCTTTGCTTGAAGAAGCTGTCATCCTGCATCATGACAACTCGCCTGTTCACAAGTCCAGAGTTGTGCACGAGCTTCTTGAGGGCTACTCGTGGGAATTCTTGGAACACCCGCCCTATTCGTCCGATACCGCCCCATGCAACTTCCACCTCTTCCCCAAGGTGAAATAAATGCTGCGAGGTCGGCGATTTGAGGACGAGGACCAGATTCATAAGGCTGTGAGAAAAGCACTCGTAACCTTGGA